TCTTCAATGTCAGCCAAGTATACTTTGTGTCTGTCTTTTATGCCCATCAGCTCGATAGTTACCCACACTGGTCCCCACAACTTTGCAGAATGTCCTGTCACACCACAAAGCTTCTGTATGGCTTCTGGTACTCCTTTGTGATCTAACACCTTGATGCTCACAAGGGTTTGCTGAGATGCATAATCTATGACAAAGTTGCACCTTTGGCCATCCAGCTTCCCTGTCACGTAGATACTATTTGTGCTTGCCATTTTACACTTAGCTGTTGGGACTTTCACAATGGAGGTTGGTGGGCTTCCCTCAGCACCAACCACTACTGGTTTCCCGAAGCTGACTTATTGGTGGTATTCTTTTTACACTGGCTCCTCAGATGTCCTTGCTCCCCACAGTCCAACAGCCTTTCTAGGTAGCAGTTTTTGCAATTTTTATAGGTGTTTTTGCATTTTTTACCACAACTTCACCCCCTATAGATGGATCTTCACCAAATTTGGCATAAAGGTTTGTTGGTCCGTGCAAAGTAGTGACTTCACATTTTGTGTTTTGCAGTTTATATGGGCTTTTTTGTGTTTTTTTACAATTGCATATAAGGGAAGCAACTTTTCATGTCGTATCATAACCTTTCATTAATCATGAATCTACATATCTTCCATCCAGGGGATGGGTACTCCAGCTAGTAAACAATATAATATAATAATAAATGTTTATTTTATATAGCTTTTCTTTTAAACAGATTACATTGATCCATGTATAGGTGTGTAGAATGTGTGTGTGCTATGTTAATCTAGAATACTCAACATCACAAGTACTCTTTTGTATCTACTTTGTACTTCCATGCTTGATCTTTCACTACATAAAATTCTGTTTCCCCTTTTTAGACCTACATAGACATATTCTTCCATGTATCTGCTTGAATTAGTTTAGAGGATTAAAGGTATTGAGAGTTTCCACAAATCATTGCCTTGTTTATATGGAGCTTAGTAAGCTAGAAATTCAGGTTTGTTGTACCTTTATCACTATAAAGCCTTAATTTACATACAGTCAGCTTGTAATGTAATGATTGGTTTGATGTATTTTCAATACCTATAGGGATTTTCTTTTTTAGTCATCTTGCACTACTTAGATTGTGATTCAGTAGGCAAGCCAACCAACATCCATTGTAGTATTGCATATTGTACTGATCTGTGGTAGTTTTAGATGATTTGAAATATTTCTTTTTATTTATTCACAGTATCCTGTTCTGAAGTCATTTTTAGCAGGCTCAATCAGTGGAACCTGCTCAACTCTCTTGTTTCAGCCTCTTGATCTGCTGAAGACAAGATTACAAAGTCCTCTAAAGGCAAGGTCTGTACAGTTGTCTCAAAAAAGGTTAAAGTACACATATACTTAAAAACTTTCTGAACATAATGTATATTTTAAAACTATTCTAAAAAATTATCATGTCATAATAAAGTTGTTGAAAATTATGAATGACAGTTTGCTATTGGTATTAGTTTCAGTATGTATGTTATAGACATGTAGGAGGAAAGGAGCAATTGTCCCCCAAATTCTGGCCCCAATTGTTTTTTGGACAAAAATCACCCAAACTATTTGGGCATAAGCTCCATACATATCTATAACTTGTACTTGCAAATTGATTGTCTTTTCAGAAAATACATTACCCACACGTGACATTTTCATTTCCACCTTTTTAACCCTTTAGTGCCATATGGTTCCACATGGAAGTCATTGGAACCTTTTTTTTTTTTCTAAGTGACTTTAAACCTTATAATACATGATTTTATATTTTCTGGCAAAATTTGCTTGCCCCCCAGTCAAAATCAATCCCCTATGCCTATGTTTATAGAATATCAAATAAGTGCAAATGATATCAAAAGAACTAGTCAAAAAGTAAGTTGGTAAACTATTGGGCATTGTTTTGGGTGTGCTATTCTGCTGGATGTGTACATTGATTAGACACCAATAACTAGGATTACAATTCATTTTACATATTTTATCTATAGATTGTTCTAGTGTGTGAACTGTCTTTCAGATTCAGCATGTACAATCTGATTAATTTTCTACTTTTTTCCTAGCACTATAGAACATGGTATGGTGTCCCTATTTTTCCAGGTGATTAAAAATGAAAAAGTGTTTAGTCTGTGGAAAGGAACTATTCCAGTAAGTCACTGTTTAATGTTTCTAAAAATTTAGGTTTATAATAAGTACATTTTAATTTCTCATTTTAACCATGATTTTCAAGAGTTTAAAAATGCATGATGTGTATTTGAAGAAAGTGACTCTTTGTCTACATAAAGAAAGAAGAGAAAAAGAAATGGAAAAATGCTCAAGCCAACTTTTAACATTGTATTGTATATAAATATAGTTAACTTAAGAAGAAAACTGAAACACTTATTGTGTCTTTTATTATGTTGCTTGGGATGTCTTCAGTTTATATACAACAAACTTAATGTACAATTTACACTTTGAAATTTAGTATAAAAATTGCATGTTCACAGGTAACTTGTTCATAACATGGAAATATTAAGTTTGGAAACATGTATCACATGGTATCAAGGGTTTGTGTTTTGTTCATACTCATACTACACAAATGTAAGCATCTTGTTGATATTTTCCTATGATGGTTTTGTTTCTCATAGTTGATGTTCCTTATGTTATACATCACAAGATCTAACTTGCTAATTTTCATGCCTATAAACCCACTTTAGCAACTTTCTTTTTTGTGCAGCTTAGGAATATCTGAATAAAGCACCTTTCCCTACACAAGATATCTACAGTAAAGCTAACAAGAGATCATCAAGGACATATAGGTGTGTTTATTAACCTAATGTTCTTATCAAATATGCTAGCTGTTACAATACTGTTTGTCCTTGTAATTTCATACAAAGCTACTTGAGGGCTATCTGTGCTAGTCATCCCTAATTTAGAAGTGGTAAACTAGAGAGAAAGCAGGTAGTCAACTCTTGGCACTTTATTACAAACAAAAAGTGGGATTGACTACTATATTATAATGCCCCTATGTCTGAAAGGGAAGCTTATTTGGTGACAGGATTCAAACTCGTAACTCACAGCTTACGAGTTGAGCATCTTAATCAGCCAACCATGCCAGGTACCCTGTTACAGTAGTTCTGTAATAATAAAGAAACAATAATAAGTTCAATGGAAAGATTATCACCTTATTTTTAAGGATTTTACCATCAAATCTTGTAAAGTACTTTTGTTTTGTAAAAATCTTCTGGTTGATTAGTGATCTCAAATCCTGTTATTATTATTATTATTATGATGCATCCAAAGATGTATCAAAATAATTAAAACTACATGTACTAGACTTATGATTTAAAACACTAACACCTAATTTTCTTTTTTAGCTTTAGTGATGCTTGTAAATTAATCTTTAGAAAGGTGTGTGTTCAGTGTATGTGCACACTACTGTCTAACATCTAAAATGTATATATAACTTTGTATAGTAAAGTAATACTTCATGAAGTCATAGTGATAAATGTATTAGAATATATATGAGTAACTTGTTTATTTCAGTCTATGACTCGCTGTGTTCCTGGGGTAGGATTGTACTTTTGTTCTCTGAACTGGTTACAAAGGAAATTTTTGTAAGTTTCTGAACCATTCTTGTATTCTAGAAACTGTTATGTGCTATTGATTCTATCTAACTTTGCCTTATCATTACAACATTAATATATCTATCAATTTGTGCAAAATTTCAAAGAAATATTTAAACTAGAGAGAGCAGACATTTTTTTTCTATTTTTAATACTTGTAGATTCTCTAGTTAGTACTTCTGAAAGTCATGTAAAACAGTTGTGTATAATATGTTAATGAAGTTTGAAAGTCAATGATATAAGGACAAACATAATGTTTTAAAGAGTAGAATTAAATGAAAACTAGAGGAGCACTCAGTAGAGTGCATACCTCTGCCATGCAGTGTTGATAATATTTAGCCTTCAAAAAATAAGAAAATGTGTCCATTTGTCTGTAATTATCAATGGACACAGACAAAGAGGAATAATATTTTACATATGTATACTAAATTTCATCAAAATTCAATCATATTTGACTGAGTTATAGAGCAAAAATAATGTGAAAATCAGTCCCCAAGCTAGCAGATAGAGATTTTTTTATTTTCGTGACCTTGCTGTGACCTTGACCCTCCAAAAACTAATCACTTCTAAGTTGGGTCATAGTTCAAATGTATACCAACTTTCATCCAAATCCATTCAGTCATTTTCAAGAAATCTTGTTGACAAACACACACACGGGTGAAAACAATCTCTATAACCTTCGGGAGCAGAGGCAAATATGGAAGTTCACTTATTTTTAAATTTATGTTGTGCAATTTCATGCAGATAAATACTCAGTTGCTTTTAGTGTATAGATGGGATGCATTTTAGAACCTTGAAGAATTGCTAGTTTGTTTTAAGTATAATGTTTGATATAAATAAGACATACATAATATCTTTATCTTATGTGAAAGAACATGATGTAAAATGATAGCTTCATCTGTAAAAATGTCAAATTTCGACCAATGTTATATGAAACTTTTGATGCTTTTATACCTGATGCAAAATTTGAAGTAATCGTGATATATTAGTCAAGTTACTCGTACAGCCTTTGTGTTAGGTTTCTTGTGACTTCTGCTGAATAATGAACCAGAATTCACATTAGAACCTTTAGGGCAAATCACTCGCATTCAGTGTATAACAGTTCTTTAATATGATTCTTTCACTTCTCTGATGCATTAAATTTTTAATAGACCAGTTTGCCATGCTCTGTAATTATGATGTATCATGCATGCAGCTTTAACAACACACTAAGAACTGTGTGAAAATAAGAATGATCTTGCTGTGATACCCAAGCATATTGCCTCCAAGGCAGAAGGACTATCCTTTCTGTATAGAGAAATCAAATCATTACATGACTGAGTTATAGAGCAAAAATAATATGAAAATCAGTCATCATGCACATGAACAGAACACACCTTTAATAACCCATACAGTAGAAAAATCTGCATTTTAATCAAGGAAGAATTTGTAGATATCTTATGCTTGTATTTTATTTGGCTGGTACTATTCTTTTGCCTTTCACAGTTATCAAGACTAGATATGAGGTAAGATATAGAATGAATTGTTTGGTATACTTGACATTGCTTGAGCATATGTTATTGTGCATTTCATTAAGTATTTACTTTTGCTTTTATATATAGATTTAGTATTAAGAATTTTAACACAACTAACAAAAGTATAATTGCTCATATTCAAGAGGTTTAAAGTTACTGTTACAACTTTGAAATTATGGTTAAACATACTGTAATATTGTTTTTCATTTGAGACCTACCAGTCATTTCTGGTACTTTATTAAATCATCTTTTATTCTCTTTGAAAAAGAAAAAGTAGAGAATCATTAACCGATTGACTGCTGATTCACTGTATAGGGTATGGTCCACCTCCGGTAGTTGAATGAGAGTGTGCCATATATAGTGTACAGCTTGCAAAAATTCCATGAGCATTTAGAGCAGCTACAATCAATTCCATTTGCATCATGTTCATTATGACTCTGATCTTACAGTTCAAACTATAAATTGAAGAATAGAAAGTTATATAATGGTGGTCTCATGATTCCTGTTCTATTTACTTCTTATCAGACATTTAACCCAGTTTTATTGGACATTTAACCCAGTTTTATTGGATGGTAAGGCTAGAATCAGATACAGAGCAGGAATGTGAAATAATTTTACATAAAGCATGTGTCATCTGTTTACATACAACTAATGATTTTCAATATAGAAAAACTTTTTATGTTACTCTGTTTGTGATTTAATAAATAGTCTTTTTTTTTCATATCAACTGACATTATAATGAGTTATTGTAGAATTTAAACTTACTAATTAAGTTCTTTACATAAGTTTTTTTTCTCCAGGACTGATGTTTAAGTGCAGTCATATCAGTGACTTAATTCCTTATATATATGGGTAAGGTCTTCGTTCGTTTGTTAATTTTCCGTAAAAATTCTTACCGAAGAAGCTTTACCAATACAAGTCCTTTCTTAAATAAAACTGGTTTATTCTTTCTGAATACAATTTTTGCGATACACTTAATTTCAACAGTCGCTCTATAACAAATGCTATAATTCACAACGAACTTCTCACGTGCTCAACAATATTCTCTCTGTCCGCAGTTCAATTACTCATTACCTTACGCATTGTTTCTTGGCCGGTCTTATATATACCAGACTATCCCAGTCTAGTAGTCTCCCGACATTTCATGAAGGTTCGAGAAGGAAGTGGCGTGATACAAGCATCACGTGACCTACGCTGTCGTAACAATATATATGTGTGTGTGGGTGTGTACATTGTGAGGAAAAAGAAAAACATTATGTGTATTCTAAAACTTGATTCAAACAAGACAATATGTTGTTCAACACACACTGTGCATAACTAACATTATTAAATTTTCCTTATCATTATATTATATTTCTTGTAGCCAACCATGAGTCAAAGACATGATAAAGTTAACTTGGAAGTCCACTTCTTATTTGTTGTGGGTTCATACATAGTTTGTTTTGGATAGTTGTATGCTGTGTTGACAATCATTGCTTCCTTATTGTGATGTGTGAAAAGGTTAACTTTTAAGAACCTTTTAACATGTAATTTGTCTTCCAAAAGTATACTTCTACATAAATAACAAAATAGAGCCAGTAAAACAAAACAATAATCTTGATTTGTATGAAAAGCTCTAAAAGACCTGATTGTATTTTACAACTATCATTTACATGTGTATCTTTTAAGTACTTGTACTTAAGATTTTAAATAACATTAAGAGCATCTCACATTTCAGGTAGTATGTAGGCTGTATTATAGAAGGTGATATATAATTAATAATACAAAATACTGGATAAGAAAATAATTTTTCTACAATATGTGATCTAAAAGTACATCTTAATGAATTGAATTATAGTGAAAACATTGGTTTTAGTCAAGAGAACTTTTCATGTGAATAAAATGTTCTTGGTTGGAAATTGCATCCAATAGGTAACATTAGGCCTCAAAATAGTTATTTTTATTGAAGGTCTAGTTTTTAAACAGTGCATATCCTGTGTTCAACATACTGTCTGATACACACTATGCAGTTGTATTATTCCAACCACTGGTCTGCAGTTATGATTTTACCAGTTTGTGAAAATGGGAAATATAATTTTTTTTCTTTAAAAGCTGCAATATTGATAAATTTTGTTTAAAAAAACCAAGACCTTTGTTTTTATTATGAATCATATTTTTGTGTAAATTAGTGGTCTGAAAAAATTCCTACTGTAGCAGAGTCTGCTGCTGAAAAAATTAGAAACTGTAGGCTTCAACAATACTCATATTGTGTATGTACAAGTCTGTACAGAGCTTACACCACCTTGTACTGATAGACTGTATGATTAACCAGATTTGTGTGTCGAAATAACTGAATATTCATAAATACATGAAAATTGTAGTATGTATAATGGTAAACTGACTGTAAGGTGAACAGGTGACTTGTTATATCTGATGATCCTGCATTGTTAATCTAATAATTTGGGCTCAAATGAAAATGTTACAGCCTCTTTAAACTTACTGGACAGATAGTCTAAAATAAATTATTGGTATGCTTATGTGTAATGTTATGAACTACTTTTATCAGTGACAGCTTAAATCACTTATTTAGTAAGTTTATTCTTTGCTAGCCTACTACATATGTATTGTACATGAACTTGTCAAAAGTTTCCAAACATGTTTAGACTTAAGAGTAATTATAGCATAACTAGCATTTATTGTTAGTGTATAGTTTTATGTTTCAAATTGAGAAAACTACTGATGGATTAAAAATGATAAAGCATGTCACAGAGGTGGTAGTTGTTTCCACCTTACCAAACTCTGTTTGTGGTGTGATAATAATTATAGTGGTAACTTGTATTTGAATTTACTGTGAATACCTAG